GAAGGGGTTTCCTGCAATAAAGCAAAGACGTTTGTCAGTAAGTGATGCCCATTTTAAATAAACCACTACAACTTTAGGGGCCTGGCAGTCAGGGAGCTGGGTAGACGGATAAGCAAACCGTCACGGTAATTCGATGTTTTTCAGAAATCCACCTGAGATAACTCATGCGACCAGAGATAGGCATTCACACTTTTTCTCAGAGAACATGGGTTTAATCAAGGTAAAGAACCCATGAAGGGAACGTCTGATATCCGCAAGCATTGCAATCAGGCCTTAGGCGCTAAGCTTGGTGAAGCGGCAGTGTGCGTCCTTTCCAGGCCTTGAGAAATAGTGCCCAGAGTTAAATGCACACAGGGACTAAATCCGAGTGAAATCGGTCAACCAGAAAGATAAGGAACGGATCTTCAAGACAATAAAGGGATCCGGGATTGGAGGTTTGAGTCGGATACGCCGATAGAAAGAGAGGGGTTGGGGTAGATAGCAAGTGTGATGTGGCCACAATCGGCTTGCTACAAAAGGGCACACATTTTGATGATTAGAATGTAACAAGTGAAATTTTGTGATAGGGCGCCAATGGGATGAGGGGGTAAGGAGTAGATAGGCCAGGCCAGAAAGAGGAGTGATTGTGTAACCGTTTCCAGCAGAATAGTTGTCGAGAGATTGACTTCACTTATCTCTTTGACGAGTTCGTATCTTGGTGCCGAGAATAGCAAGGCTCACTGATGATGCCAACTACGACACCGGTGAAACGTCTGAGGATTTATCAAGTCCACGGTCAGATGCTGGAATCATGACAACTACTATGGCAGACGAATTCGGACTAGGTGCGTTCTACTTGGTCTCCCTGAAAAGAATACCAAGTTGCGACAGCGAAGTCAATCCACTTCTATCCATCGAAAGGAGACTGCGACCAGATTAGAGGCCGCAACATCTTGGTCTTTATATATATTTAAAATAATTTACTTAAATTATAATAAATTAATGATGAACATATATTTTTGCTAACCCATGGCTAAAAAAACAAAATTAATTATCTGGATAATTAAATTTTTTCTCTTTATTATTTTGCTCTAGATTGATGCTATAACAATTATAATGATAAATTGTGTAACTTTATTTAAGAAGTATATTTCAAATAAATGAAAAATCCATGGTGAAGGTAGTAACCAAAGCCAATTTTCGTCTAGCTACGTAAATATATATTTTATAGAATAAGATACGAAGAGTAAATTTGCTTCCTTGTGTCTCCTCAGATAACATTTTTGGAGAGAACATTATTTTAAATAAAGGTGCATGAATAAGTGAGTCATACGTTAATATATTCAGAATATGACGGCTGAATTATGTTGTACTGCAGCCATTTTAATTTTACTACAAGGTTTAGATTAAAGAAGTCTACTAGGGATCCTTCCTTGCTTAAATGAAAACAGAATGTGCAATCGTTCATCATATGATAGACCCCATCAGATTCGTAACTTAATAATATAAAGGATTTACGTTCGAGCTTTGTTTAAACTCATCCAATATATTAAGTTAAACCCATGTATCAACCCTGACGTGCCAGATTTCGTAGCCCTATTCATCCATTTCCTTGTAACAGTGGTGGTTTTGTAACCTGATTTAGGTATCTTTAAGATTACATTTCATTATTGCAAACATACATGTCTACGGTCAGATGGTTCTGGTCAGAAACGGAAACAGAAACAGAAAAGAAAAAGAACCCAAGCAAAAAAAAGCAAGAATCAGAAGCAGAAAGAGAAACAGAAAAAAAAACAGAAACAGAACCAGAAACAGCAGTAGAAACCTAACCAGAAAAATAAACAAAAACAGATACAGAACACGAAACAGAAACAGAAACAGAAACAGAAACAGCACCAAAAACAGAACCATAAACAGAAACGAAAACAAAAACAGAAACGGAATCAGAACTCAAAACAAAAGCATAAATAGAAACAGAAACAGGTATAGAACTTGAAACAGGAACAGAAATAAAATCAGAGCTAGAAACAGAGCCAGAAACAGAAAGAGGAAAGTAAAGAAAAACGAAGACAGAAATAGAAAGAGAAACAGAACCAGAACCAGAAACAAAAACAGAAACAGAAACAGAAACAGAAACAGAAACAGAAACAGAAACAG